TGGAATAAATTTAGGGGTAACCTTATACCAGGGGTTTCTCCAGTAACTGTATTTTTGGGTCAGGATTGGTTTGACCCCGGAAACCACCCTAGAGCTTTTGAACCTTTAAGAGAGAAAAATTTAGTTAGACTGGGAGACCTACTTATTAATGGATCTAAATGGATTTGAAAAATTTATAAAACTTGAGAAGCACTCTCTGAAAGGGCTAATGTCAATAGTATATAAGCTTATAGCAGCGCAAAGTTGGGATAAGAAAACCTCAATTCAGAACAAGTGGGAAAAAGATTGCTCCTTAGTGATACCTGAACAACAATGGAAGTCTTTATGGAACTCATATCCTTTTGTTACAAATAACTTGGAAGTCAAAATTCAATCCTTCAAAATATATGCACGCTGGTATTTAACACCAAGAGCTCTGTTTGTAAGTAAATTTAAAATTAACCCACTTTGTTGGAAAAATTGTGGACAATCAGGGACTTATCTACATTGTTGGTGGGGCTGCCCTAGGATAAAATTTTTTTGGGGAAAAATAATTAGAGAAATTTTTAAAATTACTAATTGTAATATACCTAACACTCCCCAATCGTTACTATTGAACATGTGGCCAAGTCTCTCATTGTCCAAACAACAGATAGAGGTATTAACGCTACTATTATTTGCGGCAAAAACATGTATTGCTCAAAGGTGGAATAAGCCAAATATTCCGACAGTTAGAATTTGGATAACAAAGGTTTGGGACGTTATTATAGCTGACAAATTGGCTACACAAATAAGATGTGAACATGTGCCAAAGACTTCGAATAATTTTGTGGAAAAATGGTATTCGGTATTGAATTATATAAATGCTGGGAAAAACAAAGCCTATGATGTTCCAGGAAAATATCTTAATGTTGCACTATACTAAAAACTATATGTTGGAATGGTTAAATAATCAGCTAGAAGAAAACATGTCAATAGAAGTAGGGTTAAAAATTTGTTAAAGCATAAGGAAAAGTTATATACTGGTTTGTATTGTATTGTATGGAAATTTTTATGTTATTGAACAAAAGTTATATATTTTATATGTTTTGAGGTTTTATATTAAATGAAAAATAATAAAATAAAATGTTTAAAAAAAAAAAAAAAAAAAGAAGGTTTGTGTTCCAGAAGAGTTCTTCATAAACTTTTGATTTGTATTAGTATTCTACTTATCATAATTCTGTGTAATCAGCTGTTTTGCTAAAGCACTTTCTGACCTTTATCTAGCCCCTTTTTTGGAGAAGAGTTCTACTTTGATGTACCAAGGACATTCCAGTTCTTATCATTCTATATTTATGACAAGAGTGTTATACAGAGGGACCTACGAATAGGTAAGTTAGTATATCACTTAAACAGGCAAGGACTGTAAATGTCCTGTGATAATTTCATTAAAGTTCAAATCAATTAAAACTGTTGTCAAACAGGCCTCTTATTCTAAAGATTTGATAGTTATCCGGTTTCAGACAGTGACAATTAAAACCGGAAGAATTGTGGGGGGGGGGGCAGGCCTTTCAATAAGAAGCACAAAAAAGATTGGCTGTGATTGAGCTTGGTACAAATAGAAGTTGGTGACTTGTTCTGTTAGTTGCTTTCTTTAAGCACTGTATCCGGATTCTCTCTACAGAGAGATCAGGATGCCTGTCAGTGGTTTGAAATTTTATTTTAACAATGGCCTAACACATTAACGATTAATCAGGTCCCTGTTTGAAAAGATGTCTTGGCCCTTATATGAAAACTGAAACTATTCCGTTTTTATGGGTACCTTGGGAAGTTTTCCATTATGGAACAAACATGAGTGTTAACCACAAAACATGAATCAAATGACTCAAATGGTACCTGGCTGTTTAAGTAATAGGACATAAGAGGGGTACAATTGTTGGATTGTATATCTAATAAATTTGCTATGCAAATGAGATTTGTGGCTTTACTAGCCTGCTGTAGAGTATGACAGGATAGCTTGCACTTCTCCAGTACTGATCAGTTGCCTCTGCTTCTAGTTAAAATACTGACTGCGACAACCTTTGATGCCCTTTTAGCTTTTTGGAACCAGGGTTCCTGTATCAGTTGTTATGTATTATGTAATACATATATTACTATCTATATAATGTAAGCCACCCTGAGCCTGCCTTGGTGGGGAAGGCAGGGTATAAATCTAACGAATAAATAAATCTTTGTTGCTTGACTTTCTGCAGCCTATATTGTTGCTGTCTGTACTGTTAGTCACCATAATTTCCGGGATGTGTTTCATTTCTTCCAGCTGGACCTGCAGGTTGAACTGTAGATATTTTCTTACAGACTAGGCTTGAATAGCATATCTAGCCACAGGGATACCCCTAGGATGCATACAGTATGACTGCATTTACAGAACGTTGCTTAGGATATCCAATGTAATGTTAAAATTATTTATTTGAAGCATTTCTGTCCTGTCTTTTGTCTTCTGACTTACGGTGGCAGACAATGCAGCAAGCAGGTTGTGAGTACGCGAATTGTAATAGTTAGCAAAATTAAAACACATGCAGACTACAAATTTAAAACCAGTCAATATTTAAAATATTGACTTTGATAGAAACACACAGGAGTAAAACCAGCACAGCCAACTTTGCTGAAATAATGTACCCTCCACCAAATGGTCCATGGAATAACATGCCTTCTTAAATTTAGCAAGTAAAGGCACTCTCCTTGTCCTCTCTGGCAGGTCATTCCAGAGCACTTGTATCACCATGGAAAAGGCCTACTCCTCTGAATAGTTCTTGCCTTTGGGAGGAGGCCATCTTCAGAATGTAATGGGTGAAGGGGAGTGTTACATGAAGATGTAATTCGATAAGTATGAGGGCCCTAGACCATGAAAGGCTTTAAGAGTAGTAACTGGCTCCTTGAGTTGGGCCTGGAAGCAAATAGGTAGCTAGTGCAGTTAATGCAGTATTGTATTCTGAGTGGCTGACCCCAGAAGAGAGCCTTGTTGCCAAATCTTGTATCAACTGGAGCTTGTGACACTACTTTGAAAGCAGCCACAGACAGAAAGCATTACCAATTGCCCAATATGGATGTTACAGGTCAGTTTACAAGCTAGGTGTAATTGAAAGAAGCAACAGCACTAATTTGCTTATCCAGTAACCAGGCCATGTCCAGGAGTACCCCAAGCTCTTAACCTACTATGGAAAGGTTAACCCCTTCTAGGGCTGGTTAATTATGAGAATGTCAGTTTCAAAGTCTCAGTACACACACTGAACAAGGAACTAATTTTTATGTTCTTTCCTATAGGAAAAGTAGCTATAAAAAAAGAAGACTTGAGCAGATATGCAGGCAAAGAACCATGGTTTACACTTCAGCCTGTTGATTCTAACTCAGAGGTTCAGGTAAAATTGATCAAACGTGAAAGTTGTGTTGTGTAAATTGAAAGGTTGTCTCCTCTCCTCTACAAATTGTCTTGTTCTTAATAGAAAACCTCACTGTGCTGAATAGAATGACAACAGCCAATTGATTTTTCCTGTGGTTTCTAAATCATAGGGTTGCCAGGACCCATGGTAAATCCGGCGGGGGGATTTGGGGGTCTTTAAATCTTTTAGCAGGGAGGGAGAGGTGCTGTCACCGGCCACAGCTCTGCTGCAAGCGGGGTGGGCCTGAATCCCAAGTGGCAAATTGCTGCTGGGAAAGGAGTTCTGTGTGCAGCACCCCCTCCCCATGGGCAAAAAGACCTTTTAAAGGGTCTTTTTGCTGGTGGAGTTGTGGTCTGGTGGCCAGCTGGCCGGGAGCGGATTTGAGCCCCCAGGATCAGGGGAATCCCCGCCTGGACCTGGGGGCTGACAACCCTATTAAATCATAATCATAAATTGCATATGTGAATTAAATAATACATGTATCCAATCATGAGATTTGAATGGCACTTGTGTCTTTGGAAAAGACAGCAGCAATTTCCACTCTTCCCCCCTCCCCTTCTGCCACAAACCCCATTTGTCCCTGATACCTGCTGACCCTCAGGAACAATGTCTTAGGGAATTCAGTGCACTACAGCAGGAAGAAGTGGAAAAGTTCTTTCTTGGAGATGGATGGGTACACCACCTTGTATTGAGACTGTAGTCTATATGTCAGCCTTCCACTCTGGTTGTTTGTTGTAAAGCACAGTCAGGGGCTCAGGAACAAGGTAACAGTTGTTTACTTTTTTTGCAGGAGGGGGGGGCTTTTTGGAGTCCTATAATGGTTCATGTTTGACAGAGCAATCCTTTCCCATGTGTTCCTTCTGCTCAGATTTCTTCAGATTGATTCTTTTTTTACTTACAAGAAAGGATCAGAAATACATACAAACAGGTCCTTTGTGTGTGGGGTGTACAGATGTGTTGTAGCATGCTCTTCACTAGAGTTCATCTTTTAGAAACCCTAGAATACTGGGATTATAACTTTTATTATCCTGAATATGTACAGAGGTTTCACACCAAAAGTAAAATTGTTAGCAGGTAAAATTTGTCTTAGTTGATCTTCTAAATGTGAAGCAAACTGGTCAGGGCAAGTTTTGACATACCCCACAAGGTAATTTTTGGATGTTCTAAATAGAATTTGGGGTTGGTTGCTCAGAATGATTCCTTTGTTAAGCCCCGGGCACATGGATATCTATGCAAATTCTACAGCTGGTCTCTCCTTCTTTAGATCTGTCCTGTGTAATGAGTTAGAGATTTGAGAGTTGAGCTTACAGAGTGGGGCTTTCTGTCTCCCCATCCCACATAACCCCCTAAACTTCTATTCCTTATGGAAGAGGGAACAGGGGGACCTTCAGAAACAGAATCAGTAGAAATTTGAGAGCGACAAGGATGATCAGGGGTCTGGAGACTGAACTGTATGAGGAAAGGCTAAGGGCCTTGGGAATGTTTAGTTGGGAGAAGAGGAGATTAAGTGGGGACATGATTGCTCTCTTTAAATATTTGAAAGGCTGTCATTTGGAGGAGAGCAAGGAGCTGTTCCAGTTGGCAGCTGAGGATAGGATCTGAAGCAACGGGTTTAAATTACATGCAGAAAGGTATCAGCTGGATATTAGGAAAACCTTTTTCATGGTCAGAGTAGTTCAAAGGTGGAATCAGCTGCCTAGAAAGGTGGTTAGCTCCCCTTCACTGACAGCTTTCAAGAAGAGGCTGGATGAATATTTGTCAGAGATGCTTTAGGCTGGTCCTGCATTGGGCAGGGGGCTGGACTAGATGGTCTGTATGGCCCCTTCCAGCTCTCGGATTCTATGATGATTCTAAATTCCCCTCACCATCTCCACTAACACTTGTGCTCGTCTTGTCATTAGAAACTGACTGTAGGATTCAAGCCATTGTCATAAACGATCGATATAGATGATTAAACTCAGAACAGTCAAAACATGATGCGTATGTGTGCAAGGGGTAATATAGAGTTTAAAACATTCCCAATGTTTTTCATGTCAAACTTTATTTTTCTGCATCCTGGGGTAATCTTAAACCTTAAGATGCATTAAAAATAAAAGTTGCTTATTTTAATAACTTTACTCACTTTGAATATGAATTGCATTCGTTTTTAAGGATAACCCATATAATTCTTCTAGTTGCAGCAGCTGTCCTGAACTTTTCTGTGTTCCAGCATACCCATAGATGATAGGTATTAGGAAAATCATGTGTGTGTATAGAATAAAATGCACTGTGATAGAGGGGTGTGATAATAGCTGTATGTGGGCGGTATTACAGGTTTCCCACTCAACAGAATTGCTTGGCATTTTGACAGCGTGATGAGTAGAGTGGCAATAGGGCTGTGTATGCAATTCATGTTCAAAACAATTCATATTTTGTATATCACTGCTGTTGAGAGCCAGCGTGGTGTAGTGATTAGGAGCAGCGGACTGTGCCCTGGACAGCTGGGTTTGATTCCCCATTCTTCCACATGAAGCCTGCTGGGTGACCTTGGGCCAGTCACAGTTCTCTCAGAACTTTCTTTTCCCAGCCTACCTCACAAGGTGCCTGTTGTGGGGAGAGGAAGGGAAGGCAATTGTAAGCCACTTTTGAGACCCCTTAGGGTAGAGAAAATCTGGATATAAAACCAAATCTGTCTCTTGTTGTGCAGCTAGAACATCCATAGTAATTTTGTCCTTCGGTGAATGCTTCCCAGAGTTGTTTATGTTACATAGTAGTTGTGGGGAGAAGGGAAAATTTCAATCCCTGTTTAAGGATTTAAGTCTAGATTACATCAAATGTCTTGTTTCTAAATGTTAACATTTCTTTGAGCATCCTACATATATAAGTTCTAGCATATCGGCACTTTCTCCTTCAGTGGGGGGGGGAGTCATCCAGGAACTGGTTAGGTCACGCCTCTGCTTGCTTGATAGGCTGTGCAAATTTCTTTTGTTGCGTGGCTCCTATTGAAGTGGCCTAGGCTGACCTCTCCAGTTCTTGCATAGTCCTGCGCTCGGTAGGATGTCTGGAGCTCCTGTTCCAAGCCAGAGGAAGTACAAAATACAAGAAAAGAAAGAGAACAAAAAGCCCAGACGCCAAGAAGATCTTCCCTTCCGCGGGAAGAACTCAGGGCCGGCGAGCCCTTTGGGTGAGCCCATTCTGGCTGGACGGGCCCCCAACCAGGAATAGCCCTAGTGAAGACCCATTGGGGCCGACCCAAGCCCAGCTGGGACCAACCTAAGCTCATCCTAGGGCCCGGGGCCAACTCTAGCCCAACCCTTCACCACTTGGGGAGCCTTGGGACCTCTGGGGATGTGGGCATCGGCAGACATCGTGCAGTCTCTGCAGATGCCGCCTCACCAGCCCCATCCACTCCAGACTTTTCAGCTGCCTTGTTCCCAGCCGTCGCAGGGCACAGGCGATGTGGGACCGAACTGCTTCATGCCCCCACCATTTGCCACCGGATTACCATGGATGTGGCCGATGCTGGGAGGATTGTGGCCTCTCCCACAATGGCCTCTTCACTGGGGAAACGGGGGGGGGGCAGCAGCCCAGCCCTTAATTTCACAGGAGAGCTCGGAAGCCAGGGGAAGGGATTTTCCAGGGGCTCCAGGAAAAGAGGACGGCACTGCGAAGAAAGATTGTATTTTTCCTAGGGAGAGGTTGTAGGGAGATGGGAGGAGATGGAAACCTGAAGTCAGAGGGGCAGATAAAGGTAGGTTGATGGTTTGCTGGGAAGGAGGTAGGGTTGCCAGCTCCAGGTTGTGCAATTCCTGGAGATTTGAGGGGTGGAGCCTGGAGAGGGTGGGGCCTCAGACAGGTACAATGCCATAGACTCCATCCTCCAGACCAGCCATTTCCTCCTGGGGAACCATTGTTGCCAATCTCCAAGTGAGGGCTGGAGATAACTCAGAACTACAACTGCTCTTCAGATCAGTTCCCCTGGAGAAAACGATGGACTCTCTGTCATTATACCCTGCTGAGGTCGCCACAGCAAATTGACGCTGAGTGCCCAAGACCGTATCACCCTCCCAGAGCCTCTTTCTTGAGCTCATTGTATTTATTTTCACAACAGACCTTATTCCTAGATTCTAATATATCCGAAGTGGTCTAATATATCTGAAGACCTGCCATGCTGTGGGCCTGTTCAGGATTGGGCTCTTGCAGCATTTTTGAATAGCTTCATTAGGCTTTAAAATGGCAGTGGCATCCATGGGTTGGACCTGTGGACACCGTCATATTTAGTTTGCCCTAAGCTGCATAGAATGTGATGTGATACTAGGGGCTGGGTCTCTAATGCAGATATTGCTGTCTAGGGGGTTTTGCGGGAGGTGTGTATATATTACAAAATCTGAAGTTATTACACCTAGTTTCTCATTTTGCAAGCCATTACCAGGCATTCTTTTTCAAGCCCCCTCCCCACTTTGAAAATATTACGAACTTGCTTGTAATAGCTGAAGACTGGTTGAGGTGCCAATCTTTGGTCTAGAAAAATGCAAATGGTTTGGAGTGGTATTGAAGTTTAAATAATCTCAGTATAACTGTTTCACCATCAGTGCACAGTGGGGCGGGGGGATCCCTTTAAGTCTGGTTAAAACCCAGTTGAAGAAAGTGAGCAGTCTAGGCCAACAGTTGGGCTTGTTCAAGTCTGCTTAAGTTTTTCTAGATAGTTTAATCTGTGTTGATACCAGGTACATTCGCTTGATGTATAAATGATTTTCTCACATTGTGTTAATTATTTTCAGGGGAAAATAATTTCACAGGCTTTTTAGGAATGGAAGTGTTTCAAACAACCATCAGTGATTGAAATAGCTAACCATTTTACAAAGCATTTGTCGTACAGTAATAGCAGTTAACTATAGAGATGCTCAGTATTGGAGCCCAGAAGAGTTCTGATAGTGACTTATTTATTGCTTCCTAAATAACATGCCTTGCTTTTTTAGGATATGTACATGCATGCACATGGTACTACTAGTAATATATTTCTTAGCTGGTATGCATGTGTTTAGGGCCATTTTTAAAAATGTAGTGCTTATACAGTTGTTGAATATTGTCTTAGTCCTCTTTGTATGAAGCTGTTCTGAGGTTACTATTTTTTAAGCCCCCAGAGGGGATTTTTTATTATTTTGCAAACTACAAAAAACTACCACAGAAAACAGGGAGAGGGACTACATATACAGGATAAAGAAAAGAAACCCACTACTAGCTAAAAACCCAAGAGAGGAGATCTTCATTAGCTTAGTTACAATAAAACTTCCCTTCATTTAAACATAAAATAAACTGAGTCAATCCTTAGTAATACTTTTTCTTTTCTATAACTCTTACATCTTCACTGTCAGAGAGTCCTCTCCGGAAGAACCAGAGTCCAGCTCGCCAGTAGACTTGCTGTCCTCTTCTTTTTGCTCGTCCTCTGATCTTCCCAGCTGAGCCTTTAGAAATTCTTTGGCCTTTGTAACAGAGTCAATCTTTTCTTTTTTATCTTTAATCTTGAAAGTGACTCCCTCTGGAAACAACCATTTATATCCAATTGAGTTTGTCTGAAGAAAAAGCACCAGCTCCTTGTACTTCTTTCTCCGTTGTCTAACTTCAAATGGAATATCCTTCAGCGTTCTGATAGAACTTTCTCCTACTTTCAGGGGAGCTCCAGAAACCGCTTTCAGGATTGCATCCCTAACATGCCTCTTCGAGAATCTCACAACTATTTCCCCAGGCAGATTATTCTTTTTTATATATCCTGAATATGATCTATAGACCACATCCATTTCACTTAGCAAGAGTTCTGTTTTCATTTCTGTCACTGGGGCTAGTAGTTCACTCATCACTTCTTTGAGATTCTAACCTGGTTTTTCTGGCATGCCCTGGAAGCAAAGAACCATGTTGGCCTTTTCCATTTGTACTTCTAGCATTTGATCTTCCAAAGAAGTTGTCTTCTCTTCAAGCTTTTGTACCTTCTTTTTTACTTTTTGCGTGTTTGCAGCCACCTCCTTTATCTTCTCAACATCCTGCTTCATAATTTGTATCATATCAACAAGTTGGGCTTGTGTTGCAGTTATGCTTTGTGTTACTTTTGACATCTGGTCCTTGAAGTTATTCAGCTGTTCCAGCAGAGGGCGCATGTACTCTGCTACAGCCTTCGCTGTCTCGCTGGTAACTTCCATTTTAGGACTGTCCAGTTTCGCTTTTAAAAGTCTTTCTTTGTCCTTCTTCCCTGCCATCTTTGTCGCTTGTTTACTTTCTCCTACTTTTCAAGAGTCTCTGAATATGCACTTGAGCGCTTCAACTCACTCGGGTAAGTGCCTCTAGGCAGTTTTCTCCGTGATTTCTTCCGCCCCCCCCCCCCCGGTTAAAAGGTTTGTGCGCGTGGGAGGTGTCCCCCCCGCTCGCCTTTTCCCCGTTCGTTGCAATAGTGTTTGGGGGAGCTATCTTTTATTCTTAAATTCGCCTTTAAGTTGACTCACATTTATTACTGGTCTTCCGACCCCGCTTTCGGCTTCATTTTACTTGCTGGATCTCCTGCGCTTGCTCCGGTCAGCTTCACTAGTACCATTCGGTCTCATAGCTTCAGGAACCATCGGAGCGAAGAAGCGCCTCGATTCTCGGGCATTCTGCCCTTGAAGAGGCCACCTCTTGAGAGCTCCTTGGCCAGGGCCCCCTCACCTGGTCCCTGGGGGGGGTTGCGAGCCTGCACACCCCATCCCCCAGCCTGAGAACAGACCTTCCCCCGGGAGGTCCGGGCGGGAGGTCCGTTAGCGTGCCGCCATCAACCAGCTGAGGTTACTATTTTGATCATTATAGAGTATTTTGAATTATAACTGTGAGGTTCTATAGGAGGGGCTTCATTTATTAACTTCCTCGTATATAGAGCAAAAAAAGAGCTCATATCTTAAATTCCAATAATGTAAATGCTCAATAGAAACTAAATAGCAAAAAATTAAATATTGGTAAAGCCAAGATTCATTTTCACATCCCATCACATGAAGCTGCCTTACACTGAATCAGACCCTTGATCCATCAAAGTCAGTTTGGTGTAGTGGTTAAGTGTGCGGACTCTAATCTGGGAGAACTGGGTTTGATTCCCCACTCCTTCACTTGCAGCTGCTGGATGACCTTGGGCAAGCCATAGTTCTGACAAGAGCTGTCCTTGAAAGGGCAGTTCTTGAAAGAGCTATCTCAGCCCTACCTACCTCACAGGGTGTCTCCTCCCCCTCCTCTGTTGGAAGATTGCAACATATTTTAACATTTGACTCACACCTGCTAAATCAGTGATAGCTATATTTTGTGGACGTAGAGGTGATGTGCAAATCAGTCATATTCCTTGGCTCAACAGAAGATAGTGCTAAACAGGTCAGGGTGTCAGTCTGGAGTGGAAGTGTTAGAAACTGGATGACATTCCCTTAGATGGATGATAAAGACAGATAGCTTGTAGCATCATTATGTATTAAATTCTTTATTAGCATCACATGAACACATGAAACTGCCTTATACTGAATCAGAGCCTTGGTCCATCAAAGTCAGTATTGTCTACTACCTAGGACCTTCTGTAGTTGCTCTGCCACTAAGCCACAGGTCGTTCCAGATAGACAGGACAATAGGGTGACTGGACATGTAAGAACAACCTGGTGGGCTTTGAAATAGCTATTTTATATGTTTCATAGCCATCTACTTTCACCTTAAATGGTGACAGTATTTTGGTTCAAAGTGTGTGTTGTATAGATGTGTGAGAGTAAGCAGTTCTTTAGCAAAGAAGGATGGTGAATTATTTGTCAAAATATACTTAGAAGTTTTTGTAATCTAGGAAAATGTGGTATAGCTTAGTGCCCAGATTCCCTTCCAGGAATGTTGCAAGACTGTTTACTAACATAAAAATTGCATTGATGGCTCAGGCCAAAGATTTATCTGATTTGGCTCTCAGTTTCAGAAAGTGGCAAGATGCCCCAGGGAAGTGTTGCAAATAGGATATGATTGTGAGACTCTCTTTTATTGCTGATCATCTGTTATCAAAAACATGCTGTTTCTGAACATGGATTGTTCCCTTTTGGTAGCATGGAGGGTGGGCATTGGTTTTGAATCTAAATGGTATCTTCACGCTTTCATATTTTGAGAGGCATTTCAGGGTGGCTACTTGGTTATAGGGCAGTGCTCACTGCAGCATTAGACTGAGTTAATATAGTTATTATAATAATTGCTAACAAGTATGCCAAAAAGTATCCGTTCCAAACCCTGTCACTGGAGATACTGCTCCCTCTGTCTAACAAATAGTGATCAATGGCTACTTTCCCATTCTTTCTTCTGTGGCAAGTTTTGAAGGTTAATATGTGAGACATGTAAAATCTAAAATCTAAATCTGCTGGATGTTACCTAGGTACAAGTCATTTGAGTTCATCCCTCATGTAAGTTACACCACAGAAAGAAAAATGAAGCAACATTATTTATACTCTAGGTTTTTAGCCACTTGACTTAAGAAAGCAGGACTAATGTACTGTCATAGCTTAATGTTACCATAAAGTCTGTATGAGTTGTGAGCTTCCATGATACATCATTTACATACATAAGATGGAAGAGACAAGAAAGTGTAGGTTATGATTTTGCAGTGAAATGTACTTGATCTCATGGTACTTAGTGGCGGTTATTTGGTCAACACTACAAAACTCATCATATGAGATTCCCTAGGAATCAACAGAAGGTGAATTTACTATCTTTAGGCCTTTGCAATTGAACTACTAGTTTTCTTGCTACTTATTTTCCTGACATGTGATCTCTGTAACCTTGTAGAAGCAAGAAAAAACTTTTGAAAGCATGTAGAGTTTTGTTTGTTGTATACCAAGTGATATGACTAACATGGGCTTTTTCAAATGAAACTTTTTTTCATTGACAGGGAAAAGTTCATCTTGAATTAAAGCTGAATGAACTGATTACCGATAATGGATCAGTCTGCCAACAGCTAGTAGTACAGTAAGAATATTTATCAATTCTTATTCTGGTTTTGCTTGTTGAAAACAAAAGGGTGTGTTAAAACCTTTTCAGGGACATTATCTACAAAGGACAAAATCTGCTAAGAATGCTCCCAAATGAGTCATCTGTTTTACTGCAGAACTTCTTGCAATCTCACTGGCCTTGAATTATTTTATTTTACACAAGGACCTTTGATGATCATAAATCACTCCATGGCAAATAGAAGGGGAAGTCGTGGAAGTAGTGACAGACTTCACGTTCCTGGGATCCCAGATCACCGCAGACTGTGACAACAACCATGAAATTAAAAGATGCCTGCTCCTTGGGAGGAAAGCGATGGCGAACCTAAACAGCATGATAAAAAAGTAGAGACATCACCCTGCCAACAAAAGTCCGCATGGTCAAAGCAATGGTATTCCCAGTAGTCATGTATGGCTGCGAGAGTTGGACTATAAGGAAGGTTGAACGCTGAAGAATAGATTATTTTGAACTATGGTGCTGGAGAAGACTCTTGAGAGTCCCTTGGACTGCAAGAAGATCAAATAAGTCAATCCTAAAAGAAATCAACCCTGACTGTTCCCTGGAAGGCCAGATAATGAAACTGAAGCTCAAATACTTTGGCCACCAAATGAGAAGGGAGCACTCACTGGAGAAGACCCTGATGCTGGGAAAGATTGAAGGTCAAAGAAGACGGGGACGGCAAAGGATGAGATGGTTAGACAGTGTCATAGATGCAACCAACATGAAATTGAGCCAACTTCAGAGGACGGCGGAAGACAGGAGGGCCTGGCGGGAGTTGGTCCATGGGGTTGCGAAGAGTCGGACTCGACTGTGCGACTGAACAACAACAACAAATGAAAACTGTTACTTGCTTGAGCTTTGCCGGGCAAGTATGAAGGTTGCTACTTGATTTAAATACAATTTATAATCTGATATTGTCTAGCCTTACACTCAGTGAAATTGTAGAACAAGTAATCTCCAAAGCATGGCACAGCAACTGATTAAACATATTCTACTTTTTTGGCTACTTTATCAAACGTGTTAAGATATACATTTATCGTGGTCAGGCACTGGATAACAAGCTTTCTCAAAAGTGATTATCGTAAATACCTTAAAAGAATTGTGGCAAGAATCTGACACTAGGGAAGTCATGCAAATGAGAATACAACGTATTGTTCTGTGGGAGTCTTCTGGCCCCATGCATGTTGACATTGGTCCCTTGGAGTTTTAGCACATCTGCCATCCATGATGGCATTGTATGAAATTGTAAGCTTATGCTTGGTTTAACAGGGAATGGAATATGAGCACTTCAAGAGATTTCAGAATCATTGAGTTTTCAGGCATTAAAATATATAATGTGCAGAGACATGTTAAAATGAGTAAATTGCTTTGATTATATTGTCCAGTTCATCCCAAACCTTGGATGTAATGGGATTAGGATTACAGAAATCTGAGACAAATATGGAACAAAGTACAAGTGTTGTTGTTCAGTCTCACAGTCGAGTCCGACTCTTCATGACCCCATGGACCATATCATGCCAGGCCCTTCTGTTCTCTGGAGGTTGCTCAACTTCATGTTCGTTGCATTGATAATACTGTCTAACCATCTCATCCTTTGACACCCCCTTCTTCTTTTACCTTCAATCTTTCCCAGCATCAGGGTCTTCTCCAGTGAATGTTCCCTTCTCATTTGGTGGCCAAAGTATATGAGCTTCAGCTTTAGTATCCAGCCTTCCAGAGAATAGTCAGGGTTGATTTCTGTTAGGATTGACTGATTTGATTTCCTTGCAGTCAAAGGGACTCTCAAGAGCCTTCTCCAGCACCATAATTCGAAAGCATCTGTTCTTTGGCGCTCAGCCTTCCTTATGGTCCAACTCTCGCAGCCGTACATTACTACTGGGAATACTATTGCTTTGACTGTACAGACTTTAGTTGGTGGGGTGATGTCTCTACTTGTTATTATGCTGCCTAGGTTTGCCATCGCTTTCCTCCCAAGGAGCAGGCATCTTTTAATTTCATGGTTGCAGTCACCATCAGGGTTCCGTCTAAGCTGAGTTAGCTCACAGTTTTTTAGTCTCTGGCTCACACATTTTTGTCTTATCTCAGGAAGGATGACTCCAGAGCAAACTAATTTATGCATTAGCCAAATGGCTTGCTCACAGCTTTAATGCCGGCAGCTCACAAAGTAGAATTTTTGCACACAAGACTCCACACCTTAGAGGGAGCATTGGTCACCGTGTGCGGTGATCTTGGATCCCAGGAACATGAAGTCTGTCACTGCTTCCATGACTTCCCCTTCTATTTGCCAAGGAATGATCCAGCATAAAATTTCCACTTGTGCAAGTGCAAGTAAAAGACCACAGTATGTGCTTGTGCTCAGTTAAACTCATTGTATCCCCACTTGTATTTCCCCACTTGTGAAGCATATGTAGGGAGAAAAGCATGATGTTTGACAAAAGATCTTGCACAAGCAGAACATGTTAAGTCCACTTGTTTCCATTTGCACATCACCGGATCAAAGCAACTGTGGTTAAATTACCTTGTACTTATCTGTAGCAAGTCTGTAGACTGATAATATCAACGTATTGGCTGTTTTAGATTTTTTGTAAGAGACTATTCATCTAGCTTGTCTGTATTTAAAGACTTGTTAGTGTGAAAGCATTTTGGCCTCATTGTATTGCTGTTGATCAACTGTACACTTTTCAATAAGAGTTAGCACTGTGCATTATAAAATATGCCTCAAAAGTTAATTTCAAAGTAATCACAACAAAATTCTCACAGAAACAACACTAAAAAATTAACAGTGACAAGTAGCACATTTCAGTTGGCAGGCTGATTCTGAAAGACTTGACAGAACAAATTTTTCAGAGGCATGTTCTGACAACGTAGGAGAGAAGTCTAATTTTCACTCTTTTATTAAAAGACGTTACTAATTTCTTCCGATCTTATATCAGCAGATCTTTACACCCAGGACTTCCTATAGCAGCAGACATGCTGTCAAACTCCACACCATCTAGGGCTTTACGGTTGAAAACTAGCATCTTGAACTGGGTCCAGTAATGCTGGCATCCAGTGGAGCTATTTATAAAACAAATGTGATGTGCTTCCATTTTTTGAAGCCACCAAAATGTAGTCCTACCAAAACACAAAGCAGTTGCCGTCTCAGCCACTTGACATTTCTAAACAGTCTTCAAGTGCAGTCCTCTATAGAGCACATTACAGTGTTCTAATCTGGAAGACCCTGAGGCATGTTTGATAGCGGGCAGATCCTTCTGTATTAGCAATGGGTGCAGCTGGTGTACTAGCCAGTGATAGGCACCCAGAGCCACAGCTATTACCTAAATTTCCGGACGTAAGAGGAAGTAAGAGTTAAAAACAAAGGAAGGGTCGAAAAACATCCAGAATGGGTTTTTCCCCAGGCAGGCAGCCCCCAACATTCTCTACCGTCTTCATCTTACCTGGGTTGAGCTTAAATTGATTCACTCTCACCCGATGAGTTACTGGTTTCAAGAACCCATTGAAGACTCTTAGTACTTCATTGGAGTTTAGTGAAAAGGAGAAATAGAGCTAAGGCTTATTAGCCTACTTCCCGTCTCTGTGTGACATTCAGCAGCATGGTACACCAAATTAAATCTTATAGAATAGTCTCTGAGTGGCCCTGTAGTCTCCCAGTGCCTGTCCATTACTAGCCTTGCCAGTTTGTAGTGTTGGGTCAGTACAGGGTCTCTTGTTGTAATCCTGTCCACCACTGTGTTGTTCAGTCAGAACACCTTTTGGGTCTGTTTCCTTTAGTAGACACATCTGTGAGTACCTGTCATTATATATACAAACCTTCAGTCTAAGGCCTGGGCCCGGTAAGTTTTTAGTAGGAGTTTGAATTTCTGTGGGTTTCTCACCCCTCTGCTTCAAAGATTACCAGCACTCACTGTGTGAATTAGGGCCACTTCATAGTGAGTTCTCCTCTCAGTGCCACCCGTCGTATGGAGCAGCTACGTGTGGCTCTGAATCACACAGTGGATTTTATTTGTTTTGTATAAGATTTGAGGCCGCATGCATAGTGTTTTCAGGAATTCTCCCATTCATGCACTGACCAAACCTTTACTTGCCTAGCTTCAACAAAGTTGCTTGAGTATATGCTTTCCAACCATAACTATGACATTGTTGATCCCTGCAAGGAATGTAACATATAGCCTGAGCCGTAATTTTCAGCCAGCTGCATTAGTATTGCCAGTGAATGAAAACTAGAGATGAAGGGCATCTGATCATGTATGCTTTATTTTTCCCCCCCAAACTTTTTATTTTTGGATATAACCACATATTTAACATTACAACTTTTCATTTCTAACATATATCCATTTCTTTTTTCTCCCCCCCCCCCTTCTTGTGGCTTCCCACAATGCTCCCACCCCTTCTCTCCCTTTTACTGTTCCACCATCAAATTACATTTTCACTTTCAGATTTCTAGGTAACATTATGTTCTACTGTTCAGTCACTTTCTTTTACCATTTCTGTTCTCATGTATGCTTTATTGTATTGAAGTGAAGCTCATAAGATGATTGAATGTTTTGCAGACACAGGAAAGTTTAAAATGTAGAACTTGCAAAAACTCAATGTGTTTTTGTCTATTAGACTTGAAACATTTTAAACAAAACTTGACTGGATTACTTTGTACGATCTTTTCCCCCAAAATTGTAGCTTGAAGGAATGTCATGGGCTGCCTCTTATCAATGGACAAAATTGTGACCCTTATGCTACAGTGTCTGTTGTGGGCCCTGCAAGGTAATATTTTAAAATGTGTTGAAGTGTAATATATTGAACCAAGGGCCAAACTTCATGAGAGACTGCATGTCCATGATTGGGTTTTCTGTTTCTTTAAATTTAAATAGCTAAGGGAGGAGAAAGGGATTTGCATTTGGACTGCTGGGTATTGACTTCTTCCTGCCACTGCCGATATGAATTGTTCCCCTGCAGGTGCTTTTTGGACCATTAGGGAAAAAACTGAATAAATACCTTTTTCAGTGGGCTGATCTACATCTGAGAAAAGTGCACAGAAGGAAAAAAAATTAAATCTCCCTGTACCACAGTCCTAATCTAAGTTAGTCTCCTTCCTCATCTGCTGTTTAGGGTTTAGGGTTGGAAGATTGAATCACAGATCACTAATGTCTTACATAGTTATGCACTAAAATGCAAATCGTTGTTCGTGATTTAAAGCCTTTAATTTTCAGAAATCAGTTTATAGAAATCTTGTTGAACAAGAGAATGTGGTGTTAAGCACCACTTTAGGAGATTTTGTATTTTGACAAATAATTCCTTTATTATGCAGTGATACAGCTTCTATCAGATATTTAATTTAATTTAACTGGAGAATAACTTTTTCAATTAAAACTAAAATGTTCATAACATGTAGGGCTATTTGCATTAGGGAAGGCTATTTGCTGTTACCTTTGGAAGCATATGAAATCAGATGAAAAAAGGACTGTGGTACATGCTGACTGATAAAGGAGCTAGGCCAGTTTTGGCTGCTATATCATATGCTGATAACTAACACATTTCTGAAGCCCCAATGCATACAGTTGATTGTGCCCAACATATGCAAATAAAATTACAGTAATGTATGAGCGTATATAAAATTACAGATTTTACATGTAGCTATCTAGCTGTGTTATAACTGTGTGTTTAAGTTCTGTGTGGTAAATCTGTGCCATATTGGAACAGGAATGACCAAAAGAAGACAAAAGTAAAGAAGAAAACAAGCAACCCACAATTTAATGAAACATTTTATTTTGAGGTAACTAATTTCATATCAACCTGTTAGTGTGTTGCCTATTTATGCTGTTTTAACCTTCTCCCAAGCTATTGAGATGCTAACTGTGAAGCAAAAAACATTTTATTGTGCTGCATAACTGATGTACATGGCACCTAAGAATTTTGTAGGCAAGAAGTAGGACCCAATCCAAACTAGATCCCGAGGAAAGCAACAGGGGGAGGGGATGGAAGAGAAAAGTTGGCATGTGATGAATGTCTGCAGCATAATTTACATGTACTGAACTTAACTATAGTTGGAAACAAAGTTTAAGATGTTTAGTTGGAGGCCTTATGAATTAGGTGTGATTAAGGATAGATTTAAAGGAAGAGAAAGGGGTGCTTAATACATACTGAGGGAATGCATTCCAGACAAAAGAGGCAGCAAGGGAGAATGAATGGAGATAGAGACTAATAGTGCAACATGTGCAGGGTAACACCAGTTTAAGCGCATTGATTCCAGCTCTGCATAGAATGTACTATAGGAGACCGTAAGACAGCTGAGGGTAATATCAATGGATGAGTGAATGTTACATGGTATAAAGGGTATTAAGAAAAACAAATTCCAAAAAATAATGTGAGGCAAGGCCATGGAGAGCCTTAAAGGTAAAGACAAGGAATCTTTTCTGGATGCAGAAGAGGAAGGAAAATCACTGAATGGATTTAAGGAAGAGTATTATATAGTTTGAGCCATGAGAGAGGATATTCATTTTGAATGTACACCTTTGGGTAGAAATGAGAAGGCTGATGGTGAAAGAAGGGCACACAGAAGGTTGCAGTAATTGTAAAACCAGTGCATAAACCAAATTTTAAAGTTGGGGAATAGAGAGAGAAATGGATTTTTCTAGTGATGTATAGGTTGCAACTGATTGCACATGAGGAAAAAGATTCTATAAGGTCTCAAATGAAGCAAAAATAATTTAAAATATCAGGAAACCAGGGGAGGAGAAACCTGAGGAGGCAATTCCCCAGAGGTACTGTTGACAAGAAATCCAGCAGAGGGCAAGAAAACTACTTAACAGTCATGGAAACTTAAGGGATGGGGGGCCAAAGAGACAAGGAATTGTTGGTTGTATCAAAGGCAACAGAGAGGTCATGAAGAATAAAAGCATAAGGGATAGGGGGGTTTTGGCTTTGAAAATAGTCTGATTTTAACAAAAGGAATTTCAGTGGAGTATAAGAACAGATTTTAGGTGTTCAAGGATTGGAAAAAAGACTAGAGAGTGAGCAATAGCCATTAGGAGATTGAAGACAAATGGGAGAAGTGAATTCCCAACATGATTAGGAATTAAATACAGAGGCCAGTCTGCTGCAAAACATAGCATAAAGAACATTTTAAAGTCCATACAAATCTTGAGACCATGTGCGTTGTATATAGTTCATGGGAGGAGGTTTAACTATCCCCTGGTGAACTAACTATGGCTCAAAATATGTTGACCTTTTCCCACTCATTTTCTTTTGTTTTCTATTATTGAAAATGTTTTTTGCTTCACATTTCTTCGGTCCAACTTTCTTGCCCAATGAAATGTTATTAGAAATTTGTGGAAGTTGTGTTATAGCTTGAAATGAAGTTCTTGATATGACTAAAGTGTGAGAGTTGTTTCCTTGCACAATATAGCTTTCGAGATTACTCTGTTCATTAACTTTCACTGAAACAAATATTAAAAGGTTATGAAATAAGAGTAGACCACCTGCCAAGTCTGATTTTAAAATGTGTTGGCAATGACATGATTAAAAGTTTTTAAGGTAGATGTTTTGGTCTTTAAATTTCTAGGGTTTAAATTATTGAGCCATATATGAAATCCAGTATGCACACTGTTAATTTTTAGCATTTAATTCAAAATTTGTTGAGTACTGAAAAGTCCACCATCAGAGATTCTCTGCTGTATTTGATCAGTGTGCACAGCTTCTGTTTTCTTCAGCGGGATCAGCAGCTTGATACTTGGAGAGCAGAAAGGAAATACGATAACTTACTACCTTAAATTTAAGCAGTAAAATCAGAATTTATTTGGAGGCTCATCCATGTGCTGAACAGTTGCATTGACTGACTCCTGTCCAGTGTTGACACTACTTTACAGAGATGTCAGAATATGTAGGGATAATTTTAACTTTTTTACCTGCATGACTGCTTGTGGTATACACCTGACTGTGGGGCCATAGCAGATTTCTCTCTGTATAAACAGGGAGCACTCAAAATTCTCTGCTGGGAGAAAATGAACTATGGGGAAAGGGGGGGGCAAAGTAATATTTCTTTGTTTCTTCCCTTTCTTTTCTCAACCCCTTTCCACCAACAGTTGCTTCAAGCCCTATGTCCCAAAGCAATGTGAGGGGTGAAAATTTGGTCCAGACACAATATACCAAATGGTACTGTTTGAACTCCCAGTTCTTCCTCTTGTGCTTTGGACAGGAAGAGAGTTCAACCTTTGTTTTACCCTTGAGGCAACCATTGGTGGGAGTGAGTTACACTTCGAAAATTAACACCATCCCATTCCTGCTAATGCTGCATGCTTTCTCTGCTATATGCCCTGTCTCCTGACAAAGCCAATTTAAGAGGGAGAGGCAGGGGACAATTTTGACCCTTCCACTGTCATCCTGCTGTAACAAGGGGTCTGTATATGAGTCCTACAAATTAGGTCTGCTGTATATCTGCGTATATACATTCTACTTCAGAAGTGTGTAGGTTGATAGGTCTATCTAAATACTTGAGAACTTCTAGTCCTTATCTAAGATGAGATACCTGAGTTCAGGAAAAGCCATTGCAGGTTAATTGTGGGTAGTTTTCTCTTGAGACATTTCAGGAATTCTTGGTCATTTGCTTCAGTAATTGAAATCAAATTAAGAGTTAAATGTTTGGATTACATTGAAATATGGTAGTGATGGCAGCACAATACTGGGCTTTGTGTCCTGTCTGGCAAAAAAAAAAAAGCCCTCCCTCAAGTCACTTGGATTTGACTGCAATGTTCTTGCCCTTTAAAATGTCATGCAAGAGTTATGGGAATTGCTTTGCCCTTTTGAGTTAAAAAGGCAAACATCCTTTAGACATCAAGGCTACAGGGCAGCCATCAAAATACCATTGCTGATGGCTCTTGATATGCAATTTCTATGTAGTTTGGGAGATAAATGCCAGTTGTTTTCCTTCACTGGCTACTAGTTGCTCATGTAAATCCTACAGAGCTTGTTTACCCAGAACGAGATAATAGACCATTACTAAGATGATGTTTCTAAAACTCTAAGAATGTGTTAGCTTGACTGCTTTCTTATAGTTCAGGCTATAGGGGAAGATCATTGGTTTTCTAGAGCATGACTAGGTTTAGGAAGGTATAGATTTCAAAATGGGTACTGCAAAAGAAGAAACAAATTACTTTGAGTTTTACTTACAGGTTACCAGGTCCAGTAGTTACACCAAAAGGTCACAGTTTCAGGTGGAAGAAGAAGATATTGAGAAGCTGGAAGTCAGGTACATTCTTAACTATGTTGTATGAAACAGTCAATGCTGTTTTATAATAAAAATTAAAAGTTACTAAATAATTGCTGAAAACTGGCAAGACAGTGCGCCATTTTTGGGAAAGAACCCCTCAGTAATTTTTTAAAAAACTACTTTCAAACTTTGCACAGTTCAGCTGACAGAATCTAGTGATATGGCAAGTGTAGTATAGTTGACAAAACCAGAATATATTACCTTGCATACTTATTTACGGACTTGAATGCTTTCTCTGCCCACTCCCTTTGTTGTGGGACTAAAATACTGAGGATCTCCTGTTGGCTCTTCTTAGCTTCTTCTTGGGGGAGGGAAAGAAGGAGTACACAAACTGAAGCTTCACTCCCAGTCTCCTACTTGCTTTGCTTTTTAAAATCACCTTTTCCACTCAGGCTTGGGGAGGCTAACAGAACTGTTAAGAATCCTAATGTAGTAATAAAAGCAAATACACCCCCATTAAATCCTCACAGGCTCAGCCTGTTAAACACAAGTGTCAGTTTCAAGAGATCTCTTCTAAGACCACCTTCAGAATTGCTTGAAAAATGCAACTGAAGTCCATCATGAAAGGGACTTGGCACATGGCCTCTGGAAAGCCATCTGCAAAACCAGACTAGTAGTAGAGACGGCTGATTTTGACCAGAGGTCAGATGTATGTAATGTAGTGAAAGGGCAGTTACCAAAGAATGCTGGGCAAATCTGAGAGTGCATGCTCATACTAAAAGAGGCAGTTCTGCATTTATGTCTACTCTAGGTTGCAATGGGCTGTTAAGCTGAAGTGAACCCAGAAGCTAATTGTTGATCAGTGGAGTGTCAGATACAATGTCATATGTGCATGCCAGCATATGATAAGACAGCCATATTTTGTACCATATAAAACTTTCATATTTTCTTCAGGGGCAGCCCATCACAGAATATATTGAAGTACTGGTAATCCAGCCTAGAGGTTATGGTAACATGATTCAGTGTGGGCAGATTGGTGGAGACTAGAAAGGAGGATAACTCCTTGCTGAGGTATAATAATAAAAAGGCACTCGCTTAGTTCAGACACTGCACAAAATCATAGTTTAAGTTAACTATATTTAGCATGATTGGGCTAAATATAGGTAATTCCATTGAGTTGAAATCACTGTTTTGTGTTATGTCTGAACCAACCCAGCTTGTGTGTGTTTCGCTTATAGTAGCATAACTATGATCTAAAAGGTCATCTGAGTGTAAGGAACAGTTTGCCTTCAACTGAATGTCACTGAGTGTGCGATGTTCCCATTAATAATATCACAATAGATAAATCTCTTATGAGATAAGCAAACAACAGTCATACCACAACACATCTGGATTTTATTTTCTTCTTCTTAACATATGTGCCGTCTTAGCAGAAATGTTGGTGAGGTAAGATTCAAGAACTCAGAGTGCATGCCTCTGAAAGTCTGCAATAGCTTCTTAGGTTGTGAGACCTGAAGATGTTTTATATTTTTAAAAGCATGTGTCAGTGAAGTGCTACAGAAATGACAGAGTGATTAATAAATAGGAATTGTAAGAGTGAAAATGAACTACAGATGCCTGAGAAGAAAATGGTTGTGTCACTTTTTTCTTTGAATGCATAAATACCACCCATTATTGCTTTTCTTTTATTGACACAGCCTCACATTTTAGCCAATTGACTGACATTGCATTGATTGCCTGTTAAGCAATTAATAAGACATTTTCTTTCTCTTGTGGTAGAAGAAATATTGGGTGTGAGTCTAACCTTGTGTGCATGCCGAGTTGTTGTGGTGCTGAACATGATTTCATTAAATATGACCTGTGATTAAAAGTATGTAAAAATTAAAAGTTACAAAATTAGTCATTAAATATGATTTTAACTTTCAGGGTTGATTTATGGAACAATGGGAACTTGGTGCAGGACCTTTTCTTGGGAGAAGTTAAGATTCCCGTCAAAACGTTGGGAAGTGATTCCTTCCAAGCTTGGTAAGCAGCTACTCAGTGTACATTAGCAAATCAATGTAGTAGCCATGTAGTACCAAACAAGTTGTATGGCCTAACTCTTCAAAAGGTAGAATCACTGTGATTCACTGATATGTGTTTAAATTTAAAAGAATGAATTATCTTGAAAAAGCTTTTTGCTTCAGCGGTGAAATCTAAAAGTTGGCCTTGTCCAGGACACTTTTCAAGAATCTCAGCACCTAGCAGGCTGCAGGTGGCCCACCAGTGAATCACAGCTTACCTTCTGCCCTGCTGTACAGCATAAATATATAGGGGTGAACATACATATTTCAAGACTGAAAAAGTAGTGTTTAAAGAATCTGTCATGCTACTAAATGCCAAATGTGTGTATATGCTGACTAGAATCCAGTTTTGATAGCTGTAAAAACAATATGTGTGTGTTTCATTCTAGATCTAAACTTAAACTGATTCTCTGCTGGCCTGATGTGGCAGCATGGTGTAGTGATTGTTGTCAGACTAGGACTTGTAGAACTAGGTCTCCCTTTTTGCCTTGAAATTCACTGGGCATCCCTGGGCTAGTCATTATCTCTGTCTAATGTACCCTGCAGGATTTGTTAATGTTAGAATGGTGGGGAGTGGGCATTTATGCTACTGGGACACAGGATGTGATACAAATGTGACAAATTGTAAGTGAATGTGACTTGAGCCTTGCATTTTACTTTCTCTTTTTTTGAGGTACCTTCTACAACCAAGAGATAATGGAAATAAGTCCACTAAAAGTGAAGATCTTGGATCACTTAGACTGAATATATGTTACAGTGAAGACTGTGTGCTTCCATCTGAGTATTATGCCCCCCTCAGGAACTTGCTGCTAAAGTCAACAGAAGTTGAGGTAGTTTAATAACTTTTACGGAGGGTTGCATGGTGCTTCAGGAAGTTAAAGCAAAGCTGTCACTTCCCAAACCATGTTCACCTGTTAATCAGTATCACAGGTTTACTTTGCTTTATGTTACATTGCTTTTAAGATGTCTAAAAGGCTACCCAGATCAGCAGCTGAGTCCGGAAAACAGTATGAATGCACACTCGTGAGAGAGATTAGCTGTGTTCTTAAAAGCAGGCTTTGTGCGTTTCAAAAGGTGATATTTCAAAATCCATCTGTGATGTGGTTAAGGCCTGGAAGATGCAATACAAATTACACTATTTAATATATTCTTATATTCTACCTTTCCAAATACATTTTCCTAAGCAGTGTATAATAGGCACTTGTGTGCCTAAAAGTTGTTACGAGTATTACTTACCATGGAAAAACAGGTTGCTTACCAGTAACTGGTGATCTTCGAGTGGTCATCTGTGCATTCACACCAATGGGTCTAGTGCGCCTGCGCTGGATCAAATCGGTGCTGTAGCAAGCTCTCTACAAGGATTTTCGCGCCCATCCCCTCAGGCAAGCGCAGGACCCACTGCGCATGCCCAAGGGGGCGGGCGCGGACATCCCACCAGTTCCTTCAAATTACCGCCGCATATCATCATCCAACCAGAAAGCCAGAAGCTGACAGCAGCGGGGAAGGAGGGTGGGTGGTGTGAATGCACAGATGACCACTCGAAGATCACCAGTTACTGGTAAGCAACCTGTTTATCTTCTTCGTGGTCTCTGTGCTTCACACCAATGGGAGATTAGCGAGCAAAAGCCTACCTGGTGGCGGGTGCTGGCAGGACAACTATTGCGTGGCTGAAGACAAAACCTGACGTCCCAGCGATGGAGTCATGCTTCTCCTGACGTCAATGGCATAATGCTTGATAAAGGTATTCGGCGTTGCCCAAGTAGCCGCCGAACAGATGTCTTGCAGCGAAACTCCCTTAAGAAAAGCAGTCGAGGTCGCAATGGCTCTGGTGGAATGAGCCCTAATACGACCTGGAAGCGGCTGGTTAGCAAGCTGGTAGCACAACTGAATCAATCCAACTATCCACCTAGATAAGCGTTGAGCTGTAATAGGGGTGCCTCGTAAATAACGTGCACCCATCAATCTGAACATGAAATGCCGATAGTGCGGCTAGATAAACACGGAGTGAGGAGTGGGAGAGCCCCGAGTCAGCGAGGGACAATAGAAAGGAAAAAACTTTCTCCAGGCCAGCTGTGGCAGCCTGAGTAGCGTCAGTTCCCAGAAAGGTACAAAACTTCTTCCATTTATAAAGGTAAGATTTTCT